GATACAAAATATAATCTAACACATCTACTATATATGGACGACTTAAAACTATACGCCGAAAAAGAATCTGATTTAAATGCAATGTTAAAAACAATAGAAACTTTCTCCAATGATATAAATATGGAATTTGGATTAGATAAATGTGCTATAATGAAACTGAAAAGAGGAGTCTATTCTGAAAGAAATCAATACGAAACTGAAAATGGATATATAAAGGCACTAGAAAATGGAGATATATATAAGTACTTAGGAATTAAGCAAATGCATAAATCTAAAATGACAGAAGTTAAAGAAGAAATAAAGAAAACATTAAACCAAAGAATAATAAAAATACTAAAATCTCAACTAAACTCAAACAACAAATTCAAAGCAATAAACACTTGGGCTATACCTGTACTGACATACTCGTTCGGAATAATAAAATGGAGTAAAACAGAACTTGAGACAATTGAAAGACATATAAGGCGACAACTTACAATGTTTGGACTACACCACCCTAGAAGTTCTGTAGCACGACTATGTGTTAGTAGAAAACATGGGGGTAGAGGGTTACTAAACATTGTAAGCCTTGAAGCCAAACAGCGAGAATTGCTGAGAAAATACCATCAACAAAAATGCAATGTCTCAGAGCTCCACAAAATAACATCAACACTCGATTACAACTACACACCTCTAAATCTCAGCAATAATGAACATCAAATAGAAATACAAAATGAAAAAGAGAGGATTAACACATGGGCCTCAAAAGAACTTCACGGAAGATACCGGGCAGAACTCAACCAAACACACGTAGACGAAGAAATGTCTACAAAATGGTTGAAGTACGCCGGTCTTCATGGAGAGACAGAGGGGTTCATGATGGCAATACAAGATCGAGTGATTCCGACACGAAACCATCAGAAATACATCCAAAAGCTAAATATACCAACAGACAAGTGCAGGATGTGTCATATGGAGTCCGAAACAATAGAACATATACTAAATGGGTGTAAAGTACTCACAAACACCGAGTACCTAAGCCGTCACAACCAAGTAGCCAAAATCATACATCAGGAATTGGCAATAAGATTCGGACTAATCAAAGAACCATTACCATACTATAGATACGAGCCACAAAGTGTAATGGAAAGCAACAGAGCCAAGCTCTACTGGGATAAAGAAATAAGAACAGATAAAACTGTGGCCCACAACCGCCCAGATATAGTACTAGTAGACAAACATCAAGATAAGGCGTACATAATAGACATAGCGGTCCCACTAACACACAAACTACAGGACACGCATAGTGAGAAACGCCGAAAATATACAGACTTGGCCTATGAGATCAATAAGATGTGGCGCATTAAGAAAGTTGAAATCATACCTATAATCCTGTCATCAATGGCCGTAATACCGAAAAATCTGGCCCTAAGTTTGGAATCACTGGAAATCAGAAAAACTAAGATCTATGAAATGCAAAAAGCAGTGATACTTCAGAGTTGTAGAACAGTAAGAAAAGTACTAGACTTGAGTTGAGTCTAACCAGTCGTGTCTCTGCCACCAAAAGTGGCCGACACAACTGTAATCACACCGGAACAACCGTGATATACAAAAATAATAATAATAATAATAATAATAATAATAATAATAATAATAATAAATATAATAGAAAATTCTATCATATATATATAATACTAAATAAGTAAAAATCTACATATATATATATATATATATATTATTAATTATAAAAATAATTCTTATTTTTATAATTAAAAAATATTTTTACGACACGTGTGTTGTGTGCAGACAATTGTTTTTCATTGTAATATTGTTTTTTATTGTTGTTGATGATTATGTTGTAATTTAAGTATTTAATATTAAATATTATTGAAAATATAGTTTATACATTTATATTTAATTACATAAAAATAATAATTTAAAAAAAACCTATAATATAGAATTTTCCACTAAATATAACTATAGATAGTTTTAAATTATTGTTTTTTACTATAATATTATTAAGTTTATTTGTACTAATAAAATTATTTTATTTGAGTAAAATTTATTGACATTTTATTAAAGTAATATATATATATATTTAAGTTAAATACTATTTGTTATGATTAAGTAAATTATAATTTCATATATAATTATTAATTGTTATTAGAATTGATTTGTATATAATTAATAAACAATATTATATTATTTAAAAAAAAAATGATTGAAATACTAGGTAATTGTTTTAAAAAATTATTCAAAACTATAACATTTACTATAGTATTAATAGTATTAATTATTGTAAAATTTACATCATATTTTTCAAGTCTAAATAATAATGAAAACAATAATAATAATAATAATTACGATAATATGTTATATATATGCCAAACAATTGAACAATTTAATCGTAAAAATTACATAACATTTACGTATAGTATTGACAATCAATTTAATGGACAATCAATTAGTATACAAATATGGAAACGTATTTCAATATCAATTATATTGAAATTAATTATTTTAATAATTATTATAATATTTATTACTTGTGCCTTAGAGATTAGTCGGTTCAATGATTATCTACCAGTGCTCGGACTGGTAGCCAAATCAACCAGACTAATTGGTCCACAATCGTTGATGTGTTGGCTAATGGCCATAACGTTTGCCGTTTGGCTATTATTAGTTTGCCTATTATGTTATCATGATCATTATTATCTAAAAAACTACCAGTGCTCTGGCACTACCACTGGTACTACTATATGGCATATGATATATGGCTTGAAATATAGTCAATTGAAATATCCATTAAATTTGAAACATTTTAAACTATACTATCAAATTATACAATATTTTATAATATCGTTAATTAGATATTATTATTACTCGATAACTGGACTAGGAATTGTTATAAATTTTTCATTAACTATACTAGCTAATTTTAAATATATAAATCCATCATGGTCACTTATGGATCTAATCTACTGGAATCTATTGTTTACAATTGGTTTCGTACATATGTTTTCAATGGTTGCCTATATATTAAGTATATTATTACTAGTATTAGTCTATGTTATATTTAAACTCAAGGAAATTAATCAAAAATTTCTAAAAGCATATAAATTAGGTAATACTAGACTATTATTACTGACTATTGATGAGCATCGTTATTGTTCAACATTATTAAGCTTGATCAATCAATATATATCCATTGGCCTGGCTATTATCTATTATCTATGGTTTAATATGCTATTATTGCTATTGTATAGTCTAACTAATCATTCAATGAATGTTAGACTGGGATTTGTTGGACTATTATATTTTGAATTACTATACGGTATTATATTGACCGGTATTGGTCTATGGATTGGTAAACAGGTATAGATGATAGAGATATGTGTGGGGGTGTGTGGGTGGTGGGGTAATTCAATGGGGGTGGGGGGTTGGGACAAATAAAATTTCTATTAAATTTTGACCCGATACTAAAATTTATTATTTATTATTATTATTATACTATGGGTTTATTTATATACAGTATATTATTATTTAATAATAATTAATTAAAAATATAATTTGTTTTTGTGTAAAACTTTATATATATTTATATTTTTGGTTAATTTAATTAAATATATTATTATTTTTTAATTTAAAATATTAAAAAAATATAATAATTATAAATATAGTTATTAGTTATTATTATCCTAATTATAATCTTTATTTTTATTTATTTTTTCCAAAATAAACAAATATAACAAACAGGCCCACAAACCGCGCCTATTATTGTTCAAGTATTTAAATCGATGGCCAGTTATGTCGAACAGACACCTACTCCATATCAGTGAACTTATTGAACGACTGTCCTCTACTAATCGACCCATTGGTCTATATTGTGGACATTTATTTCCCATCGATAGTCTATCGATATTTCAATATTTATTGCTATTATCTAATAATTATTTATTGTTTATTAGTATGTTTAATAATATTTAATTATTTTTAACTTATTTTTTTTTGTATAATTAATAATGTTTATTTTTTACTTGTAATATTAATTAATTATAATAATTGTAATATAATTTTATGTAATTACTAATATTAATTATAACAAAAAAAAACTATTATTTTATTACAGTATTATTGCAGAGAAATTATATGATTATTTATTTAATTAATTTTTATGTATTGAAATTGTTTTATAAATATTTTTTGACTAAACAATTATAGTACAAAATAAATATTATTATCATAAAAATAAAATCAATATAAACATAAAATATAATAAAAATTTTTCATTAATAAAATAAATTTTTTAAATTTATAAATTATAATCATTTTTTATACTATTCAATATAAATATATTATTAACACAAATTATTAAAAATATATAAAAAAAAATTATTTTTTTTAGTTTATGAAAACATCTAATTAGTCATACATCTAATGTCATATAAATATTATAACTAACTATAATAAATAAAAAATTTAATAAATATTAAAATACAAACGGGCTTGCAATTTATTGATATTTTTAAATAAAATAATAATTAAGTTAGCTATTAATTAATAATAAAAATATAAAAAAATATCTAAATTTAGAAGTTTGACTATTCTAATAAATAAATAGTTAAAAATAAAATTATTAAACTATATTTATTTATTTTTAACTATTACAGTAACTATAATAGAAATTCAAAGTATTATACAATAAATTATAAAACTACTGTATTTTCGTTTTTTTTTTAAAATATTTAAATAATTTTAAAAAATATTAGTCACAAAAAAATTAATGAAATTGAAAAATTTATTAAATTAAATTTTCACAATAATTTTAACATAATAATTATAATAAGTGATTTTTCATTTATTTATATAATACTAAAATAAGAAAATTAATTTAATAATTATATACTAATAATAATAATAATTTTGATTTATTATATATAAAGTATTTATTTTTTTAAAAAAAATAAATTTTACCTTAAATAACAATTTAATTAATTAATATTAATATTTTTAATTCCAATTTAAGCGATAGCAACCTATTTAAGTAAAATATAAATATTTTTATTTAAAAAAATAGAAAAAAATTAACTAATTATCTAATAATAATAATAATAATAATATACCCCGTAATCCATTAGTTTATGTGGCAATGCTGTAGATGGAGACCATTTATCTGATAAATAGTTGTATATTTCAACCGTTTTGCTTATATCGTAAGCTATTGATATAAATATATATATATTAGTTTTAATTTAATTTTTAAAAAAAAAATTATTTAAAAAACAAAAAATTAATTTTTTTATGTTGACAAAAAAAACATAAATTAAATTTTAAAATTATTTTTTATAATAATAATACCTGAATAGCCACCAAATGCATACAATTCATCTTCAAATGCAATTAATTTGAAATCATATCGCTTATCGGTAATTGGTGCTAGGTTATTTTTGTTAAAAAATTAAATAAAAATAACAAATTATTGATAGTGATTAGTATAGACAAAAAAATAATTATTATAATTTTTAATATTATTATATATATATATAGAAATATATCAATATCTATAATTGTAGTCAACAAAATTAGCTTGGTAAATTACTATTAATAGTTATTAATTAGGTTATTAACTAGTACAATTTATGTTTTATTAACTAAAATTTAATTATAAATAAATAAAAATTTTAATACTAAGATTTTCAATGCTTGAATTATTTTTATTTTTTTTTTTAAATAAATAACTAAAACTAACATGTTTCATATAATTAAGGGGTCGTATATAAATAAATTTTTAAAAAAATACCTATTGGTGTCCATTGATTTAATTTGGGATCATATGATTCGCACGATCTTTCATCACTACCTTTACCAGAGCACACATAGATTTTATCTTTTAGGGCTGCTGCACCAAAATTTGCTCTAGATAAAATTTTTAAAAAAAAATTAATTTTAATAATAATAATAATATTTACTAATAATAATAATAATATTTACTAATAATAATAATAATAATTACTAATAAAAATAATAATAATTACTAATAATAATAATAATAATTACTAATAAAAATAATAATAATTACTAATAATAATAATAATAATTACTAATAATAATAATAATAATTACTAATAATAGTAATAATAATTACTAATAATAATAATAATAATTACTAATAATAATAATAATAATTACTAATAATAATAATAATAATTACTAATAATAATAATAATAATTAATAATAATAATAATAATAATTACTAATAATAATAATAATAATTACTAATAATAATAATAATAATAATTACTAATAATAATAATAATTACTAATAATAATAATAATAATTACTAATAATAATAATAATAATTACTAATAATAATAATAATAATTATTAATAATAATAATAATAATAATTACTACTACTAATAATAATAATTACTACTAATAATAATAATAATTACTAATAATAATAATAATGCTGTATTAATTAATTTTACTTAACTTAATAAATCAATTTAAATTAGACTAATAAATAAATATAGAATAAATTAATATTTAAAAAAATAATTTTTATATATATATAAATGTATATAGTGTATATATATATATATATTAAAATGTTATTTAAAAAAAATAAATCAAATATAATTTAGTAAACTATATATCTATTTATATATATATAATTTATATATACTATATATTTATCATATTAATAAATTAAAAATTAAAAAACTAACCTTGATGAACGCATGTTTTTCATTGGTACCCATTGTTTGGATTTTGGTTCATACCTTTCCATTGTATTCAATGTTCGGGAGCCATCAAAACCTCCGATAGCATACAGATAGCCATCCAGAGCTACCAGTGCCAGACCTTCACGTTTTTCATTCATTGGTGTACTAAAAGTCCATTCATCCTTAGCTGGCGAATAGGATTCACAGGTTTCCTCTAAAATAATAATACAATAAAAAATAAAAATAAAATAAATTATTTAATTAACAACTAATTATAACAACTCTATAGTCTAGACAAAAAATACAGTCAAAATCATGCTATGGTGTATACTATATATATATATATATAGTACAAACTTATATTGTTTAAAAAAAATATTATTAATAAAATTTATTAATTAAAACTAATTATAACAACTCTATAGTCTAGACAAAAAAATACAGTCAAAATCATGCTATGGTTTATACTGTATATATATATATAGTAATAGAAACATATATTATTTTTTAAAAAAACATATAATAAAAAAAATATTTAGTAATTAACAACTAATTAGTCTAGACAAAAAAAATACATTTAAAATCAACCTATGGTATTTAATGTATTGATATTTTGTTCAAAAAAACAAAAAAACTAAAAATAAATTAACAACTATATAATTAAAAAAAATTATTAATATATATATATAGACAGTATATTTATATATAATCTAATTAATTATTAAAATATAATATATATATAGAAAAAATATAATAATTTACCTTGATGACCGCCGCAAACATAAATAATATTATCAATAACTGCTGCATCATGTTGACTATAGTTAAAAAAAAAAATTAAAAATTACAATTAAAAAAAAATTTGTTTTAAAATAATAATAATAATAATATAGTTTTTTTTTTAAAAAAAAAGTTTATTTCAATTACTATCGACTATTTCTCAACGCTGCCACCAAAGTCCATGAATTGGTTCTTATATCATACGATTCAACTGTATTTGACTTATCAGTACCCTATAAATAATAATAATTTAAACATAATAATTAGTAACATAATTTTTTTTTTTGGGTGGGTGGGTGGGTATAGGTTGCTCGCCAACAAAACAAACATACAGTAAACCCTCCGATGGCAAACAATTTTTGATTGACCGAAACCAGTCCATACAGACTACGGCCATTGGACATGGGTTGCAGTGATTGCCAGACACTCGAACGGGTATTGTATTTGAAACAACCGGTTTGATAGGTAATACCATCGTAACCGCCGCATAGATAGATAGCACTGGTAGTCGGATTTTGGGTTAGCTTTTTATATAAATATTGAAATAAATTAATTAATTAAAAAAATAAAATAAAATTAATTATTAATATAATTACATTAACATTATTAGCATTAATATAACTATTTGGTGGTAGTCTAGTTATTGATGATGATTGAACCATAAAATTACAATTAATTGTAATTACTAACAAAATTGCAATGTTTATAATTGCATACATTATTATTATTATTTTTTTTTTAAAAAATATAAAAACTTAAAATATTTTTTTTTTGCTTTTTTATAATAAATAAAAAAACAATGTGTGTGTGATATACAACTAAATTAATAAACTAAATTATTGTTTCAATAAAAACTTATTTATATATGCACATATTTTAGCTAACTATATTAATAATAATAATAATAATTTAAAGATAAAAAAAATTAAAAGTGTCTAGCCTAATAGATAATTATATATTTTTTTAATAATTAATAATTAATTAATTATTATTTTTTGTTGTTGTAAATTGATTAAATAGTTTTGCCAACTTAGTAACAGTACTTACTGGTATTAAAAATTATTATTATTATTATTATTTCATTATTATTAGGAAAGTGATAATCTTATAGTAAATATTTATTTAGTTTTTCAATAACAATTGATTTTTTTTTTAAATAAATATTATTTATGATAATAAGTTATAAAAAAATTACAATTTTTTTGAAATATTATTGATTTTATTAATTATTAATTTATATATATATACATGTAGATTATTTATTTTAAATTTAAATTTTTAATTTGATTATCCTAATTATTATTAATATTAGTATATTTAATATAATATATTAATTTAAGTATTTAACATTTAAAAAATATATATATAATTGATAAAATAAATATTATTAATAAATATAAATTATTAATTGGAAATTTGATAACTTAAACAAAGTTCAAGTGTCTATCAGCTTATTATTGTATTAAATAATAATTAATAGTTTATTATTAAAATAATAAATTATTATTAATATATTTGTTACTAAACTATTAATTATATAACTTAAATATTATTTTAAGTATAATGTACCTGGATAAATCAATGTTCAATTATAAATAGATTTTTTATTTATGTTATTATCATTTATTAAGTAAATTAATATTTAGCTAAATTAATTTAAAGTTATTATTATTTTTTTTAAATGTTATTTTAATAAAATTTTAGTTTCTATAAGCATTTCAAAAATACAATAAATAAAAAGCTATAGTTAACAAAATGAGTTAAAATAAAAAAGTATTAAAATAAATCTGTAAAATCTATACATTATTATTATTTTTTTTTAAAAAAAGTTAAATTATATAACTTTAATATAGAGTATAATTTTAATGATATAATACTAAAACTTTAACTTTAAATGCATTGAATGCAAACTAACAATAAACAACTAGTAATTTATATAAAATTATTTTTTTTAAAAAAATTAAAAATCTAATTTATTAATTTTTTCATATATCATAGTTCAAAATAATCAATGATAATATTATTATTACTAATAATATTAGTTAATTATAGATAATAAGATTATAAAATCAACTATATATAAGTATTTTTTAAAAATTAATAAATTATTGATAAAATATTAGTATTTTATCAAATTTATCAAATAAGTAATTGAATTTTTGAATTTTAAGTTAAATTTTTTTATTTTAATTACTCATTATTATTTTATATTAATAGCTAATAATAAAGTTATTAGATTAAATATTATCAATAAAAATATAATATTAGATATCTATGTGTTTATGTGTATTATTAGTAGGGGGTAAATGAGATCATAGCTATAATATCAATATTATAACTAAACTATTATTAATAAAAAACAAATTTTTTATTCAATTTATAATTAAAGAAATTAAAACATATTAAATAACTATAAAAAATAAATTATAGTAAGAGTTGTAAATCAAAATGTATGTAATTTATACTAATAATAATAATAGTTTGCAAATAATTTATTAATTTATTTAAAATAATTATTGTTTTTATCTTAAAAAATAAATAATAAAAATTACAATTATAAACTTAAATAATTATATTAAAACTTAAGCATTAATTACATATAAAAAAAACTTTATAAATCAATTTGATTTAAATGTCAAAAAATGATATTTTCTCAAATAAATCATAATATTTATTTATTTACAATAATCTAATTTTGATTGATATAATGAGTTATATGCTAAGCTAATAATATATGTTTTAATTTATTTAATTAAAAAAAATATTTTTTGCTTTATATAAAAATATATCTATTTATTAATATATATATATATAAAATATATTACAACATAATATTGCTATAATTATTTTTTATTTTAATAGTAAAATCATAAAAAATATAGCTATAATTACCTATATATTAGTATAGCGTCATAAATCAATTTAAATTAGATTTATATAAATATAAATAAATTATTATTTAGAAAAATAAATATATATATATTAAACTATTATTAAATTAATGTTAATTATAAACTTGCTATTAATAATAATATAAAATAATAATAATAATAATATCATATAAAATATAGTAATAATTACCTATTTATATTACATAGCGCAATAAATTAGACTAATATATATATATATATATCTTAAAATATAATTTAAAAAAATTAGATCAAATTCAATTTATAAAACTTTTAGCTAATAAAATAAATAGGATTTTAAAATTATTATATTTTTTAAAAATAAATATACTAAGCAAAATAATTTTGTAAAAATGATTTTTACAATTTTACGTTACATTATACAAATTTATTATTATTTTCATACATTATTGAAAATCATAAAAATTATTTTCACTAATTATACGCCAAATATAATTGATTTATTCAATGAAGCGGAAAATGTTTTAGAAAATCAATACCTAATGTTTTATCAGACTATTGATGAACAATACGGTAGACAACCATTGAATCGGAAATATGTTTGGAAATCAATGGCAATGAAATTGATTTGTTTGCTAACAATTATAAGATTTATAATCATATCCTTAACCAATGATCCCCAATGGTTGGCACTGGTAGGCGATTTTCTACACATACTAGAAAATGGCTATTTATATTCAAATATGATACTAATATATAGTCTAACAATGATAAGTATATTATTTAATTTTTTATATCAGGACTTGAGTCCTGATTATATACAATTTTGGTCAATAATATATCAGATTAAATATCAATCAATAAAATATCCATTAGATAAACCATATCCATTAGATAAGAAATATTTACAGTTAATCTACTATTTTCATAATAAACTATGTTAATTGATGCAATTGTATTTAATTATAATACCACCAAGTTTTATTTTCATATTATCAATGTTTAATTTGTATAATAATTATTGTAATCAAAATATTGCGTTATATGCATATCCTAGTAATATATGAAATATTAATTAAATGTTTTAATTTATTTAATTAAATAGAAAAATTATTTTTGTTTTTATCATATATATTGTTAATACATAATTAATATATTACAACATATTATTGCGTTAATGTTAATTATAATTTTGATTTTAATAATAATAATAATAATAATATAATATATATTAAATATTAACGCAATACAACAATTATAGTAAAGATTATTGTAAATAAATAATTTTATTTTATATTATTTAATAAAAGTTTTATGTTTTGACATTTAAATCATTTAATAATAACAAAAAAATATATTAGAAAATGTAATAATAATGATAGTTATTTTTATTAATATTAATTTTATAGAAAACAAAACAATTATGTTTAGTAATTAAATAATTAATATATTATAACATAATATTGCCCTATAATGTTAATGTTAATTATAATTTTGATATTAATAATAACAATAATATTAATATCATATAATATAAAATAAAATAAAGCATTAATTACTTATAATAACGCAATAAATCAACTTTACTTAAATTAATATATTTTTATATAAAATAAGTAATATTAATATATATATATATATATATAAAACAAAATTAATTTTCTATTTAATAAATTAAATTAAAACATATTTTTTATATCCGATTAATATAATAATGTATTTTTTTATATATAATTATTTTTTTTGTATAATTAAAAAATATTTTATTATTAGATGATATTTTATTTTATATTATGATATTTTTACACATAATATAAACAATTACATAGATCTTTAATTAAAATTTTATTAATTAAATATTTTCATAAATAGGGTATAATTATTGAAACAAATCAATAGATATTGTAATACTTCAGCACTAGTTATGGGAAACAAATTATAACAATATAAACCAATTGCTGGTTCACTAGTGGATAGTCTTTCAGCAAACTCCTGTAGTTTTAGTCGATACCTGAGCTGACCTGACCTTACTGTCCACCACTGCCGACGATCCGACAAATATCTGTAAACCAATGGTAACGGCCGGTACGCCAAACGGCGCAAATAAATAATAATTAATATATAACATAATAATAATATGAAATTAAATAAAACAATTATAGATATAATTGATGTAATAATTAGATTAAATTTATAATTTAATAAACTAAATAAACCAATCAATATCATATTAAAATATATTGTATACAATATATAAATACATTGACACCAATATTTGTTGATATAATCGGCTAATCGATGACAATACTGGTGCTCATAGACTATACATATAAATAATTTATTATTATTATTATTATAAATATTAGTTAATTTATTTAAATTAGTTGAGAATTTTGTAAATTTTCTATTAATATCCATAAATTTCAATATAATATAGAAAATACTTATAGTTGCCATAAAATCCCAATAGTATATTAATTTAGTCGTATGTTTAATAGTTATTAACATAATTATTGACCATAATATATATAATAAAATATTTAAATGAAAGTATGAATAATAATTATTATTATTATTATGATTATTATAAAAATTCAAAAATGATAAGAGTAAATAAATTGTTGATGGTACAATAATTAAATACATATAAAATATGTAGCATATTATATTGTGAAAATAGTAAATAAATTTTAGATATATATTATAATATGGTTTATCTAATGGATATTTTATTGATTGATATTTAATTTGATATATTATTGACCAAAATTGTCTATAATCTGGACACCAGTCCTGATATAACCAATTAAAACAAATACCTGTAATTGTTATGCCAAGTATAAGGATTATATTTGAAAATAAATAGCCATTTTGAAATTGGTGTAGAAAATCGCCTACCAGTGCCAACCATTGGGGATCATTGGTTAGAGAGATGACTATAAATCTTATAATAGTTAG